TTCGTCTCTCTCTCTCTCTCTCTCTCTCTCTCTCTCTCTCTCTCTCTCTTTCTCTCTCACACACACACACTCTCTCTCTTCTCTCTTCTCCCCATCTTTTAATCGTCTTTTCATCCATTCCACCTTCATCCTTCACTTCTCTCGTTCTGGTATCCTGTATCGATATATATATATTTATATATATATGCGATAGTTTGCGGAACGAGCGCGCGCGCACGTACGCGTGGACACGCGTTCTCGAGCGTGTTTCGATGGCGAGAAACACGATTCCGCGTCGATTCAACGCTCGATCGAGTTTCAATTGATACAATATATATACATATATACGTAGAATTCAATCGGTGAACAGCGATAAACGATTTTATTTTATCGAAACAACTGGATGAAAGGAAGAACAAGTCAAAATATGTATGTATATATATATATATTAACATCGGACTTTATATACTCGTAATTAAAAATTTCCTAGATATCCCACCGATCTCTAAATCGACGCTGAACCGAGTACAATGAATAAATAAAAACTATGGAGTTAACAAGAATTAACAAAGATTAACAAAGATTAACAACTTAATGATGTCGAAGAATCCACGATCCAACGATCGATTTTTCCCTCTATATTATGGTGGCAACACACGGTTCCGTTTTCCAACGCGAGAGAAACGCGCGTACCATTTATTACGCACGCATACGCGCGCATTTAAATGTTATAATATATATATGTGTGTGTGCATATACACACACACACACACATACACATATATATATTATATAACAAGATGGCAAAAATGTTCCTCCGATATTTCTTTCCTTTCATTTTCTCGCGGATGGAGAACTTCTCTCTTTCTTCACCGTTCCCTTTTTTTCACGTTCACCCCCTCCCCCATCTTCTTCAAAAAACGTGTACCTCATCTCATATTCTTCCCTAGATAATCTTGTTCATTTATATTTATATATAATATATATAATCGATTTATACTCTCGTAAAGTCGTATTTAATAATTAATTAATTAATAGAGGATGTACGAACGGTGTAAGAAAGATTTTTTTTTTCGTGTGTTATTCTTTTTTTTTTTTTTAATTTCTTTTCTTTACCCTTCCTTTTCTTTCTCTTCTCCTCCGTCCTCTTTTCGTCCCTGCCCCCCATTTTTTTATTTTTTTTACTTTTTTGCTCTCTTCCTATCGTCTTGAACAAAGGTGCCTCGTGAACCCGACGAAAAAATCGTTCGATCGCAGATCACCCAAGTTCCCCCGTGTTTCTAACAACGTCCGCCGAGATATACGTTATTATATCTACTTCACTCTGCGCCGCGACTTTCGTTTCTTCATTTTCCTCCTCCATGCCGTCTTCTTTTCTCTTATTCCTTCGTTTTCTTCTTCTTCTTCTTCTTCTTCTTCTCCATCGACGAACGCCGGAAGTGTGGATCGATCCTTTCGTACACGGCCGAATACCGTACACCGAGCTACGCGAACGAATCTCACTCTTTCATTCCTTCCTTTCACACATTTCTCCCCTCCATCTTCTTTCCACGATCCTTTACATTTTCTTTTTTTTTTTACTCGATTCGAAATCCCATCTTCTTCGCTTTATCTATTTCTACGCTCTACTTTTCTCCTCGCCTTGGTCTCGACGTTCGACATAGCTCGAGGATTCGAGGTCGACTTGTAAAACGAAACGTGCGCGAGGCTGGCGGATCGTGAATCGCGGCGCCGATTCACAAGTCGCGTCAGTCGCGACATTTCTTCCTTACGACGATGAGGTAACAATGTTTAAAGATCGCTCTTCTCTCCCTCTTGGACTTATCGCGCGTAATCTCTATACGTGTATATGTGTGTTTATATGTGTGTGTACAACGCGAGCGTATGCACCGATATCGATCTCGAGCGAGGAGCTTTCCTTTTTTTTTTTTTTTTTGTCCGATCGAAAGCCTATATAGATCCGAGCTTGCTCGCTTCGAGCATATCCTAGACGCTTGTAAGCGTACGTACGGTATCGTTTGTAATCATATAAATAACACATAACGCTTTCATTAATTACATAAACGAACGAGTGTTATGGAACCATTTTTTTTTTTAAATTAACGCTGTTCGATATATTAATATTATATTATATATCGTGAATCAAATAGAACGCCACGAAACATTCGAACGAATTATTATGCAACGATACGGCAGGTACACTTGGACAAATTCTCGTACGCGCGTGTGTGTATGTATGTTCATACTTGTTTCACAAGAGATAGCGCGCGCGCGCGCGCGCGAATCTACAATGGATTTTTTCTTTTTTTTTTTCCCCCGGTGTGTCGTCGTAGCGAGAGACGAGAACGAAAATTAGAAGAAAAAAAATTACAATGGAAGATTGTTCTGTACAGCGACTATCATACGAACTAAATACGCGTGGTTGCCGACGTGCCGGCGTCATCTCCCTCGTCGTTCGCGGCTTCATTTTTCTCGCATGCGGTGTAACATTCACCACCATTCCTTCCTTTCTTCCGTGCATACTTCCAATTTCCTGGATATACGCGTACTTCCCGTTTTTGACGTTCACCGCTGACCTCCTCACCTGGAACACACACTCTTCTGCTTCATTTTCCACCGTTTTTTTGATTCTCTTCTTTCCTAGGATCTTCGGGGTTTTGTGATGATCTTGCTCCGTCTCTTCTCATACTTTTATACGTCCCCGTTCCAATTATTTTTACAAATACTTTTGTTGCTTCTCTTTCGTTTAGAAAATTGGCAAGATTGTTCCTCGAGTTTTTGAATTGGAGACGGAATGAAGATGTGAAAATCGAGACATTGGAAAATTCTTTGGTTATAATCCGTTTCTATTTTTCCCTTCTTTATATGATATTCGTTTTTAATGTTCTAGTATATATAGTGTATTTCATGCATTTCAGTAATATTATTTATTCCTTGATTGACACTTAAGAAACTTTCAGACATCTCGAACACAATTTTCTTCACCGATTAAAGATTTTCGTTACATACATATATATAGAGTACAGTCTTCCGAATTGTTTAGCCGTCAAATTTCTTCTTTCTTCGATATCCTCTTTATCGAAAATTACTATCTCGAATCCATCGGAAATCGTTCCTCCATCGAGGCCGAGGCACGAGTCGCGGTGCTTGATGGTAAGTACGCTGAACAGGTACTGAATCGAGCTCAAAAATATCGACTTATCCGATCACTTTCGCGACTATTCTCGCTTCTTTCCATTTTCTCGCGTTTAATACCAATTTTTATACGCGTGTTCACGTGTCCTGTCGGTGTTCGTGTGTATGTGTGTACATGTACATCGATAAATAAATAAATAGATAGACGCTCGTATTATGTATTTATCTATTTATCCCGATCGTGTGTTAGGACTCAGGTGTAACGTGTGCTCGCGCGTTTCTTGCACGGTTTCGTTCGTCCATTCCACGCGTCGAAGGCGACGAGCGTCCACCGACACATCGGCCCTTTTCTTCTACTTCCTCCCCTTTATTCTTTTTGAACCGTCGCATCGATTTACTTGTGATTATAGGTGAACGGCGACGGCCCTGTGACCGCGCTACGATGGAAATGCACATTTTGCCATTTGTTGTCCCTCTTGTGCCATACGCGGCTCTCCTCGCTCTGGTGGGTGTGCGCTACTCCTTGTCTGAAAAAATATGCAATATTTTTTCAAATTTATGGAAATTTTCCGACCATTTGTACGAGATTTATAAATTTTTAAATGTAAGATCCAAACATCCTTTTTGAACTTGCATCCAGTGTGATTGCTTATAGAAGATATTATTTTATAATAGATCCAATCTTTGTCCAGATCATTATTTTATCTTATTTTATAACAAGTTACTTCATATTTATTTATATTAAATAATTATGGATCGCGAAAGATTAATGTATTGACATATTATAAATCTTTAGTGTTGATCTTTAATTTCTTTTACTCACTTGTCCATGTACTGTGTCAGCCTAACGTACGCGATGCACGCGGCATCCTCGCCAAGTAGGTGCACATGGGGATTCAGGATCGTCGTGTTCACGGCTTTGCAGTTTTTCCCCAAGACTGCTTAGATTGGAAAAGCAAAACGCTCGTTATTTGTGAATCTGTACGTTCATTTATATACCATTCATCATTTATATTTCAAAGCTACATAATTAATTAATAAGAAGAAAGATCGTATGAACAAATTCAATAAATTATTCTAATATAGATTAAATATTGTTATACTGAACGAACAAAATAATAAAATATATTAAATTTTTATATTCATCCATTCTTTGAATAAAAATTTTATCGTGAAAAAAAGAAAAAAGAAATTTTGTGCATTCAGTATTTATATCAATGAAAAGTGCAATAAGAAGCAGTATGCAATTAAATTCGACGACAAATGCACCGATCGATCGGAAATTTCAACTCCTGGATAAAAAACGTTTTAACGCCTGGCTTATATCCCATCCACATGAATAAGAATGTAAATATTCGATTCTCGGATATAATACATCATGCAGCAATAGATTGGAACAAATCAAACGTAAATACAATTGTGCGTTTGTCAGCGCGATACGATTTAACAGTGATGCAAATGAGTCATAATTACCATTATCAAAGTAAAATTTGTGGAAATCCATTCCCTCGACTAAATTACCTAGAGCCTCTGGCTCGAATGCAGTCAGATGTGGATCACAGATTTTCCTGGAAGCGTAAGAGATGTTAGAATTATCTGAATTATTTTACTTTAATTTCACTGAAAGCAGACTTGCATTGTTACAGAGATTAACCTAAATTATTTTTAATTGAAAAAATAATTGATTACAATATTACGACTTTTTCTCTTTGAATTACGATTTATATTATTTTTTATTATTCTTTGTTTGCACTTTATTCCTGTCTTTACTATATTATCCTGTAAATTCGGCTCCTTTATAAATTTTTTCATTGGAACTTTGGTATCCTGATAAATCTTTTTCACTGAAACTGCAGCAAAAATGTTTGTTTTTTCTTCCTTTTGAAATTTATTGCCACTTACGTGTACGCCTCGAAATCTCCGGTGTTGATGCTTTCTATGAGTTGCTCAGTCATCTTGATGATCTCCTGACGGCGTGCTGGAATTGTCAATAGATTATTGATCAATGAAAACAGGACGATCGGCATGCCCGATCGATCAACGAAAAAAATAAATAAAACGATCAGGGCTCATACCGACACATCGTACGGCACAACAATCACATGCACGAATCTTTATCAACTTCTACGTCCTACGCCAAAGATTCTCTTATTAATTAAAATACGTATATATATCATACATCAATGTGTCACCCATTGGAGTCGTCTCAAAAATCAAAAAATGACATTATCCTCGCACATCACATTCAACAATCTCTACCCTTTTCTCTAATCAAAAAATTCTACTACCATTCTATCAGACTCCAATGACACGCGATTCTCAAATGGTTCTGAACAGATACATAACCTAAAAAATATCATTACATTTTCATTATCTTTACATATTATTTATCATTTCACATTACTATTTATAATTTAAAGAAAAATAATTGCAATTAATAGAATACAAATTATTTCAACAGATGAAAAGAGACCATTCGAGAATCGAATTTTCATTCTTCATAAATTTTCTTTTCCCACTTGACAAGTACCGATTTATAAAAGGAATATCCTTTACTATAACGAGAGAACGAAGTCCTTATGACTATAAAAGTTACGACACCGGTGCCATCTAGTCAAGTGGAAGTGTATCGAACAGTTTCGTCGTTGCACGCGTCGTTTGAATCAGTTGTTTCGAGATTAAATTGTGATTTAGACCGTTTTCGAATTTTTCGACGCGACAACGACGAAGTTTTAGTGACTTTGCTTAAAATTCTAATTATTTATCGTCGCTCGGACGACGAGAAAAAATGTGTTCGACGAATTCGAAATCGAGGAGAAGAAGATGTCGTTGTTCTCTCGTTGTTCATGACTGCTTCTTGGATCCTTGAAGAATAATTCCTTGATAAGTACCTTATTTTTTTCTCTTCTTTCGTATTATACTTTTTATTTGTACAAAAATCAATCCTTTAGATATTAATATTACGTGATACATTCCTATCCTTTTTCATCCGCCTATAAAATACAATCATAACCTTCGAACGTAAGGCGCGAAAATATTCGAATTATTTCGATTTCAATTATAAAAAAAAAAAAAAAGAAAAAAGAAAAGTATCGTTCAACTTTTAATTCCTTGAATAGTGTTGGAAAAAATTGATAAATAAAATTACCAATAATCGGTCTTTCATATTGATTAATCTTCGAAATCATACGACGAAAAAAACAAATGAATTTACGTGTTTAATCCGGCGACCACCACCGTCAGCGTAACAGCACAGTGCCGTAACTATCCTACTGCGCACCACAGTGAGCGAAATAACAAATATGTATAATATACGTTTGCGTAAAATTCATGTGGCATGAAAGTGAAAAATTTATTCTACACGCGTCCTGTTCTACACGGAAAGCGTTGCAACATGATTCTCTCCTCTCGTACAGCTACATCGGTGATTACCTCGATAGAGAGAAAAAGAGATATAGATATAGATATAGATGTAGATAGAAATAGAGAGAAAGAAAGAGAGAAAGAGAGAGAGAGAGAGAGTAGTTTTGAGTGAGAGTGAGATAGGTTCTTCCGTTACCTGAACACTGGGAGTTCGTCGAGAGCTGGCTGCAGGTCTTGATAGGACACACGATTCTTATTCTACAAGCAATATATATATAATATATACATACATATATTATATATAGATACCCTTTTTTTTTCTTAAACTCATACGTGCTTTTCTTATTTCCTTTCTCTTTTTTTTTTTTTGTAATTATTCTTTTGGCAATTATGTGGATCGTTTATTCCGCAGCAGGATTTCTTTTCTTGCGTGTCTCAAGCGTGATTTCGCGGAAGATTAAGGTCCGCGGGGATTACTTCCGGTGTTGTCGATGATTTTTATTTCTATCAGCAAGAAAAATAGTTTTTTCGATATTTCTTCCGTTGAATTTTTCTTTTTCATTTTCTTTTTTTTTTTTTTTTTTTTTTTTTTTTAGTCAAAAAGAAAAGTTGGTTTAAATCATATTCTAAAGTTTATCGAGATTTTCGTGGATATCTCTCTTTTTTTTTTTGGATTTTTCAAGATTCTAAAAGACGGGAAGTTGAATGAGAAAAGAGAAACGTCGCGGAGCTTAATCCTCGCGCAAGAGGATTAACCGTCTCCTCAGGTCCCATCTCGTCCTCGAAAGCATTTTCTCTTCTTCCTGCGCCTTCTTCCCCTTGTCAGTCAACGTGCCTTTCGGATTTTCTTCGTTCCGCGACCGATTTTCACGATTTTTCTTCCCATTTATTCCCTTTCTTTGCAAACACTGTGCCGCGTGGATGCGACGACGTTTGTCTGTGTCGCGTTTTTCGCGATGAAAATCGAACGCATTCGAAAATAGTGATACATAATGAATTATCATTACGCTCGAGAAAGCGCGATTAATTTCTAGAAATCGATATGATTGATTCGATGATATTTTATCTGGCTGATGATTCATTGACTTAATCACGAACGAAGATATATTGCCTCAAAATAGAAAATTTTAATCTATCAAATTTGAATAAAAATTTTTGGACAATTTTCATCTAATTTTGTAATCTAATTGTTAGAAAGATTTCTTAAATAATTGGAGAGTGGAAAGTTTATGTCAAAGTTTAAAAAAAAAAATGTAACGAAGGAAAAAGAAATAGATGCGAGTAAAGAATGATGCATCGTATATGCATCCTTCATTATCGTTTTCTTTCAAAATTCACTCGGTTTTGTCAATGAATCACTTTGAATACGCGCACGTAAGAAATATACGGTATATACAGGGTGTCTATTATTAAATGTCGTTTGAAGTAAATGCTAAACAATTGATATCACGAAAAAAAAAAAAATGCAGAACGTTTTTTACAAGATACGTACGATAATTCGAAGGAAAAATATTTTGACAAAAATTTTCAACGTCATATTAAGCGATTTAATTGTAATTAAAGTGACCTTCAAATGACATTGTAAACTCACTTCAAAATATATTTCCTTATTAAATCATCATTCTCATCGTTACATGAAAAACGATAAGAGATAATTATTCATTTCTTAATATCAATTGCTTTTCAATTACATTTTTTATAAGCGATATTTAACATCCTGTACATGCTATATCAGAGTAGATTTCTTGTACAATGTAAACGTAAAATAAAGAGAAAAAGAGAGAAAGAAAGAAAGAAAGAAACAAAAAAAAATAAAATGAATCAATATCAAGAAAGAGTCGATACAGAGTGAACCAAGATATATACGAAGATAAAGCTTTTACAGTATCGTCGAAAATGACGATAAAAACATATTTTATCAATGTATGCATATATTACGAGAAGCGTTCAAGCCTCAATCAATCAATTTGATAAACTCGCGCCTTCTACGCACACGAATCCTTTTTATCCATTCGTTTCCCAGCAAGGAATGCCACAGGCGATACGCCCATTATGAGAAACCATTCTTTCTAAAGATCACTCTTTCAGTAGATTAGCTTAAAATAATGTAATTAACTACGAAGCCTGTCCGATGATTCGTTTCGTTCTCATACAACACAACGTGTCAGGTTTCACAAGTTTATTAGAACGTTAACAGTTTGCGCCTACACACGGATTACACGTGGATTTGTAGCGTAGACGACAGCCTGATCAACGTTTATAAGCGAATAAAATATCATTTCATGACATTTCATTTCGTATTAATTATTTAATCGTTTCATAATCGTTCAGTGTGATATTTTCACAAAAGTTTCTTCTATTCAATTTTTTTTCTTCGAGACTTTTTCGCGAATTAATTATTTTTCAATTATCCATACTTCTTGGAATGTAATTAGAAAATTTATCATCCACGAAGATGATGTCACGTTTGAAAAGGGAAATTAAAAGAAGATGATAAAATTTTACGAATCTCTATTTGTTTTTTTCTTCCCTGCTGCAAATCTTTCTGCAAAACTTTTCGAAAACGACTTTAACTTCTTTCACGTGGAAATGATATTTTACGAGCATCTGCTTGCACACTAAACTCTACGATACATAATGCAGAACGAACAATGGGGGGCGTACAGAGAGACAATTTCGAGTTCGCATAGTCCCATCTCATAATCTTCTATTTGAGAACAAAAAGTGGATGGAGATAAATGTCGTAGAATTTCTTAGATTATTTATTTTCCTTAAATATTTTAATCGTTAAGAAGATCAAAATACCGAAGAATAATCCTTGAACGTCGTTGTATCCTGTCGATGGGCTCCTTTCGTCTGATCAAAATCGATACTTACTACTTGCGGTTCGCCGTCCGATTAATTAAAACCGTGACCACTGAAATTCACGCGACACGACGAATAAAATCAAGAATTTATTAGAATTTTGACAAACCTTTCTGGTTCCATATCGTTTTATAATATAATGCTACGTTTGCGAATCATTGGGAATCCAAGAATTTATCGTTAAAAAACCATGTAACAATTCATTCACGAAACAATGTATACAACAATTTCGTCGCGTCACGGATCAATTCAGCGAGTCGTATCGAGGAAAAAAAAAAAAAGTCACTTTGCGACTCAATCACAAATGATTAAATCAGGCATTCAAAAACTGAAAGTATTTAAAAAACAAAAAAAAAGCGAAAAAAAAAAAGAAAAGAGACAGTCTCCAAAAGGCAAAAAAAAAAAAAACAAGAGACATGCGGCGAGCCTGTACGCGACACTGTACGAACCTCTGGAACTTCCAAAAACACTTTTAAGCAAAATTTTCAACAACAATTTAAAACAAAATTATTCGAGCGATAGAACGATCGTGCACAATAATTTTTTTTCTTCCTTCGAAATCGAATTTTCAACTCTTTTCTCCGGTCAAGCGTTTTCTCTCTAGAGTCAAGATAGATCGAATCGTCGAATAGCCGAAACAGAGAATAATAATAATAATAAGAAGAAGATTCCAGAGTGGTAAAGGGATCGAAACGAGCGAGTAACTTCGAGAGAGGAGAATTGTGCAGCGTCGCAAGGCTCAAAACTTCACGACAACGAGCAGCAGCGTCTAATCTTCGAGCAGGCGTCCTCGTCAATCTTAACTTTCGACTTCTCTGCGGCCTTACCGGCGTTGGTACTCTTCTTACCATCTTCTGACTCGTTTTGAATAAGCGGCATGTATCCGGGGTTGTTCGCGCGTCGAATTTCCGCTTCTGATATTTTTTCTGTTATTTTTTTGGGGGGGTAGGGAAAGTCTCGCTTCCGATTCGTTTCGAAGTGGCATGCATTGGAATTCGAGGCGGCATGTCAGCGATGCGTGCAACCGGAACATGCAGAGAAACACACACAGGGAGAAGAGGGGTCATCGAACGTGAAAAATTTCGTAAAAATTAAAGGGCGATCGTAAGACCGCTTTCCTCTCTGGCCTGAACGAGCGAATGAGATCGGAAAATAATTCTTCTCGATACGCGAAAATAAGCTTGATGCATCGTTGTTTCAAGTTGAAAAATTGCGATTTGCCGAGTCTTTGCAAACAGAAATCTTGGGATAATTTTGAATAAATCCCGAGTCGAAGGAGAAAGAGAGAATTTTAATCCAAAAATTTTGCGTTTAATCGACTCGAGGGCAAATTAAATGCAGGATAATTTTGAGCCGCACAGGTGGTGGAATAATTTGAAGGAGAATTATCGAGGTGGCGAATTTTCGGATGGAGAAAATCGTTTTTCAACGAGGCGTTCGGCAATCGAACGTAAAAGTGTCTTCCATTTGCGAAATGGGAACCTGATTTACGGGCCACGATCGCGATAAATGCACTTTTGCCCATTACGGGAATCAATCAAGCCTCGCGATGGCAGCCGTGTTTCCGTACAATGAAACGCATTATCGGCGATCGTTTCGTGACACGTTCTCTGCAATTTCTACCGTGGAAAACATCCAATTTCCATTTTAAATCTTGCCAATTCATTGTCCACACGGCGAAAGAAATAATCGAATTTTTTCCACCCTTGTCTTTCGTAATTTTCGTCCAAATTATGCACTAATATTTCACCGTATTTTTACAAACAATTTTCTCCAATTTTCTCCAATTTTCTCCAACGTTGAATGTTGACGATCAAACGATTATTAAATTGTAGACCGGAATCGAAATTAAACATCTATCTTTAAATATATCCTCTGACTATTTCGATTCTTGTTCTCGTTATATTATATCTATGATACAATTCTTCTCGATCAACGATGCATTAAACATTTTCTTCGAAGACTGAGAAACAAAAAAAGATGAAAAATGTAGTAAAGAGAAAGAATCAAGGAATAAACTAGAAAAAAAAAGAAAAAGAATATACATAAATTGCTAACTAAACTTATACAAAATAGCAATCCTTACTCTTTCATAAACCCCTCGATTTTTAACCTGTTAACAAATTATTTCTTAAGCTGTCAATATATATATATATACACACTATATACTCGAAAAATATCTTCGAAAGTTCAATTCTAAAGGCTGAAACAATCAAACGAAATAACAAGCAATATTAAAAAATGCCATTCAAGACGTACTTTTATTCACAAACGAATATATCTCCGTATTTGGCCCATATTCCGAAATATATAAATAATATCTCAAACGACACTTTCGCACATATGCTCGTTCTATATTTTCGCCTCCAGAACCAATCTTCGAAAATTCATCCGCGACTAACTCTCATCGAGTGTTATCCTGTTCGACGCGTGGTTGAAAGATCGAACCAGAGAAGAAAGCCAGAGAGGCAGAGAGGTGTGCGTGCGTGAAAGGTGGATACAGACCGTTGCTGGAGGAGTCGTAGCGTCGCGACGATGCCGTGGGCGTCGCCGCGTGGTTGCTGCCGATGTAGATGGCCGCCGGCGAGGACGGTGACGCGCCAGTCTGGCTGTTTTGGCTGTTGCTGCTGCTACCGCTGCTGCTACCGCTTCCTGCGCTGCCAGCTAGTCATGCAACCAACCAACCAAAAGACGAGCTACTGTCAGCCTCCGAACAGCTTCCTCCCGGTCGCTTCTGGCCGATTTTCGCCGTACCGTCACAGTTCGATCGTTGCACTCTCGCGTGTTCTCAAAATTTCCAAGAATTCTCTCAACCAGAGAATTTGAACTCGACGATTTTTACAAGACGATTCACGGCCACTTGGAGAGTTATTTTCGAATTTGGATCGAAGAGGAAGATTTCGAAACAGAGAGAGAGAGAAAGAGACTTTTCGTCGTCGATGATGAGACGATGATTAAAAGAAAAGTCTAGAGTTTGGAATTTCAATCTGAATTCGTGGAAGAATGTCAGATTATTATTTTTCAAAAAGAAATGGAATCAAAATGAATTGAATTCTCTCTTGAATTGATCGAACGATTGATATCAAGATGATGGGAGTAGAAGAGTTGGTTAATTTTTTATTAACCTTCGCTTTTTGAATCTTCTTTTTTTTTTTTTT